AATAAATAATAACTGAACTTGTAACAGTTTTGTTGCAAAGCACAATATTATGGTGAAATTAGATCTCGTGTTTGAGTTAAAACCGAATTATTGTTGTATAAGCATAGCAAGCATCATAGCAAAAAGGCTAACAAACTTAAGAGTTATACCCACCAATTAACATTAGCCCTTCATTCATGACATGGATACCGTAATAATCATACAGAGAGAACATAGTTGCATACCTTTATCTTTAGCTCATTTCTCCTCTTCTTCTTTTCTTTATTTTTCTAAATTGGGCACCTGATGGCTTTGACCTTTTCCTGTCCATCTCTGTGTTTATTTAGCACTCGACAATCAACATATTTCCCATGATCCCCCCAACACTGTCACTCACGACCAGAAGTCAAGACTAAACCAACTCACCTTGGTGACCACATAATCGTTTTGTATTACCTATTTTTATTAGCCATTTCACACAATTCAGAAAAACAAAAATGTGCAGGAACTATAGGCCTGTATTTATAATATTATGAATGAAATGTGCGTTATTTGGAAGAAAGTCGAGGTGTGACTGACTTTAGTCCACTAATTCCATGAGAGTATTGCTCTACAGTGGAAATTCGCCCGTGTCAAAAACAACTGGTTTTAGCAACCTGTAAAGCGCTGTAGAAAAACTAAACGTGAGTCTACTTACGATTCTGCTTGGACAAATGTTCTCGTACAGTTTGCACTTCCTTGCTCTTTGTTCGTTTAGAGGTTTCGCTTTTTTTAAGATAGGCTATAGCCCGCTTCAGAAGCTCGTCTTTCTGTTTCAACCCGGAGAGTGAGTAGAGGAGGAGCTCTAGAATAGCAGTCCGGGGGTGTATTCCAGAAAGCAGGTTATGTGACATACCTGGGTATGTTTAAGGGTAAGTAAGCGGATAAACTCAGCTTTCGGGTCCACAAACAGAGGTAACTTTCAGGGTATGTAAGTAGCCACATAGTAACTTACTCTCTGAGCATAACCTGCTCCAGAGTAGGTTCTGTTTCAGGGTCCTTTCACTTCAGCTTGACGAGACTCCAGTGGGCGTGACAGATTGCGCACAATATTATATATTATTATAATATAGTTCTGTAATATATATATATATATATAGCTATATTAGGGGTGGAACGGTTCGCTGGGAAAAAATCGAACCGTACGGTTCACCACGCGCTAGGACTGCGGTTCAACTTAATTCTGACAATGCATCAGTAATATGGTTTGCTATAAATAACACGTAAAACAAACAGGGTTCGGCTAATATATGTTTCTGTTGATGGAACAACGCATCTGTAATATGGTTTGCTATAAATAACACGTAAAACAAACAGGGTTCGGCTAATATATGTTTCTGTTGATGGATGCACATTCTGGCTTCCCAATACATTACAACAACAGCGATAAAAAAAGAAAAAGAAAACGTGGACAAACCATTCACTCTTGTTCAATGGACTGCCATATGCTGGAATATGAGCATATTCCGTCATCACCCGGGTGCTGCACAGGTGAGACCTGAACAGCACACGTTGATATCTGTTTAAGCTAAACTCATTTAAGCTTTGCCAGTTTAAACATTTAAGAGCCAGAGGACGCGAGCTTGCGCGTGCAGTGAGAAGATTTGTGCATGGCAAACCCAAGCCTCAGAACACGCCCAAATATTAAGCTTTCTCTGAAGTATTGTGTTTAAATGGACAAATTCACACAACAAGTATGCTAAAATGGCCGTTTTGATAGTATCCTATAGCAGACATAGCCGGCTGAACGTACTGTATCAGTGCATTCTCTTAAAGCCACAACACTTCTTAATATTAATCAAACAGCAACAACAAACAAATCACTCACTGCTCTTGATTGAATAGCTTTTGTAACTTTAATAAAGATTCATCTTTAATTTATACAGTCAAATATGCATTGCTGTTTTACATTTCATTACTTTATTCAATTTCTGTACCTAAAAACTAATGTTAGACCTACCTAAAAAAAAAAACTGAAAATCACTGTTTGTTTTATTTGTGTCTTTACTCTATTGTATTTATTTGTTTAAATAGTTTCTTCTTTAAGGTCATTTCATATTTCACATGAAAACATTTCAATTTGAAATAGCACTTTGTAAACAAATATAGAACAAATGCATAACAAATGTATACAAACTGTGAGTGTTAAAACATTTTAA